CAGATTTGGCCTGGATAGTAGTGATGCGGCCTCCACAATTTACAGAGCATTTTCCTGGCTCTCAGGAGCATAGAGCTTGGACTTCTTGTGCTACTCACACTGTCAGCTGGCCCACACCCCTGAGGAGTCTGTAGCCAGCTTCTGGTTCCCTCAGGAGGCCAAGCTCTGGATCGTTGGAAGCTGGATTCACAACATGTGCTGGAGGAGCCGGGTGTGGTCCCAGGCCTGTGTCACTTACTGTGGAGACCTGCCCTTCCCGCCACAGCCCATCTCAAGGGTGGCTACAGCAGGGGTGTAGGATGTGCCAGGAGGGTGGGCTCCCGCAGACAGTTCTGCAGTACCTTTCCACAGAGATCTCCAATCTGCCACCGTGGGAGCTTTGTCCCCCACTGTGGCGGTGCCCGTAAAGGCCTTTCACTAAGCTATGGGTGTCCATATGGCAGGATTCTGTGAAACGGCCAAGCGTTTGCCTCGATCACACCCACAATAGTGCCTCTGGGCCCTGCGTAAGTGGCTCTCAGAAGCGGCTGGATGTAACACTACTCAGTGCTGAAATTATAGGAAAAAGGATGAAAAAGGAAGTGTGGAGGTCAGATATCCGCAGTCAGATCTTGGGGCTGGCTGAGCCAGAGTGGCAAGTCCATTAACAGTCCGGGGCGGCATGAAGGCTGCACAGGAAGTGGGCACATTTCCTGCCTTTTTTCCAAGATTGAGGAGCAGGGATTTCCCTGTACTAGGGTCCCCTCTAGGAACGAGGTCCCCTTCCACCACCCTGCAGAGCCAGTATGGTACAGTGGAAAGTGTTCTGGGCTGTTGGAAACCCTAGCTCTCATGCAAGCTCTCTCTTAGCTCATGGAGGGATGAGCTAACATTCTACAGCCACTTTGGGCCTCAGTTTAACCTTCTGGAGTCCCCAGCAGGTCAAGCCAGCACTCAAGCTTGTTTGGCGTCAGATGTGTATCCTCCTCCCCATCTGGCCTGGGAGCTCTGCCAGGGTCAAGACGAGTGTGGTGCCCTGCATGGGACTAGCTGGACGCACATAGCTCAGCACCCACGTCTAGATGTGCCTTCCAGTCCTGCAGGCTCTCGTTTTCCGCACACTGACACAGGACTTGGAGTTGGTGCTCACAGGCTTATAGAACAATAGGCTACCATGGGCCCCGTTGGGTTCTAGAATCAGACTCTGAGGCCTAGCTCCACCATTTGGAAACCCCACAGTCCTAAGGAGCAGCCTCACTTTGTGAAACCAGTTCCTTGGCTATAAAATGAAGTGATCCATGGCCCGTACTGGGAGGGCCCAGGACTGAGAGAGCTGGTGAGGGCAGAAACCCAAACTACCCTTGCAATTACTGTAATCGGCTAGTTTCTATGATGAGAGGACCAGGTAGAGTCAGGGCAGAGCCACGTTCTAAACCCGCTTCTTTCCCAGCTCTTCCTTTTTCTAAAATAGATGTGGATGGCAGTGTGATGTCATGGAGAGAGCCCTGGCTGGAGTTAGGGCACCTGGCGCAGCTAGTTAGTTCTCAGAGGCCTTGGACAAGGCCCACCTCTCTCCTGGGCCTCTCTTTTTCTCTATAGATAAAGGACACTGGAGGAAGAGATGACAGTCACACAACGAACGGGTGACTGCTGGGCAGCTAAGTGTGTGGTGAGGCAGCTTGTTCACCCTGATCTGGTGCAATATTACGCAGCACCAGTGACAGAAAGTCAGCCTCTGTGCATGAACCAAGGAGACCATCCCAGAGGCTGGACCCGGCCATGGGGGCTTCTAGACTCACCTGTTTGGGGACCCTCAAAAGCTTTTAGCAATTGAACTCATAAGCAGGCCCATTGGTATGTCCTGCGTGAGAAAACAGGTCCAGATTAGCATCACTGGGGCTCCTTCCTCTCTAGTCCTCTCCCCCTGCCTGCCCCAACTGACCAGACTTCAAGATGAGAGGCTCCCATCCCAGCACAGGTCTGTTCCCTCTTTTTGTCTGTCTCCTGTGTGACATTTCACCCCCGTAGGTAATGAGTTGAGAAGACCATAAGGTCCACTTTCTCTAAGCCTACCTGAAGGTCTCTTGTTGAGAATGCTGCCTGGGAGGGAAGGCGAGATGGGCTTTTTGTTGGCCTAATGAAAGAAGGGCGGTAGAGCCCATGCCTCGCGGGAATGGGTGTTAAGCCTGTGATTTCTTTGCAGAGCACAGGTTCTCCTGAGCACATCCTCCATTCTCTGCTCCTGAGGGTATGCAGGCTGTGCAGGGCAGGGAATAGCCTAGGTGTGGAGTGCCAACCTGAGTAGGAATGGTGGGAGCACAGAAGATGTGGGTGACCCACTGGAGATGGTTTTGCTCCTGGCCCAAAGAGCTGGCTTCCAGCAGAGCCTGGTCAGCTCCTGATGGGTGGCAGAGCAGGGTTGGGCTGTGATGAGGTTTTTTCTGTGCTGAGTGGCTGGTTGGGTCCAGATCCCCTGGTGCTCAGTGTTCTGCACCCTTGCTCCAAGTTCGTGGGGAGACCTCAGAGCTGCTGCTCTCTCCCCAGGCTCAGCAGTCTGTCTGTTCGCTCTCAGCCAGCCCCTAACAAGGCAGCCTGGGCTGGCACCTCACTGAGCAGTCTTGCTCTGTGGGTTTGTGTGGAGGCGTTGAGGGCAAACTTGCCACCTCCATGCATTAGGGACAAATTCCTGAGATCCTCTGAGTGAGCTTTTGAGGGCTGTAGAGGTGGGCACACACCAGCTCTGCCCTCAACCTCGGAGTCTGCAGGAAGAGCCTTTCAGACCAGGTCTGAGTGTTGATCCTGTGTGGAGACAGATCCGTGGAGGCCCCCCCATGTGTGCCAGGTGCCCTCAGGTGCTGCCTTAGGTTTTATGTGACCTCCCAGCCATAGGGCACACAGGTGAGGGCCTTGCCCAGTGCCAGCTGCCTGCTCTGGAAGGCACTGCAGGCGACTCAGAGTGAGGCAGGGATGCTGAGGGAGGAGGCGTTCCCTTGTTGCCAGGAGCTGAGAAGCCAATAGAAAGCCTTTTGCCCCTCTTGGCAACTGGACCTCACCCTTGAACTCGCCTCCTCTTTTCATTTTCTTTTTGGGGGTTGGCTTCAAATTATTTTGTTTTGTTTACATTACACCCAAGTTTCATGGTACAAAAGACTTGCAGGTGCAAATATGTCCCGCCTTCATTAACTTCCCCTCCCTTTTTAATTTATGTGATTTCAATTTTCCTTCCCTGTACTGTTAATTAGGGGACCCTCTAATCAGTGCCATTATCACAGTGGTATTCATGTTTAGGAAAGCCGCTAAACAAATGCTTGCAAAATTGCTAAATGGCTAATTAATGTCTGTTAATTAAGAAAATTGCTCATGGTAACAAACCATGCCGTTGCTGGCAGCCGCTAGAAAGACACACACTTGTTGAAATTAGTAGCGTGGCAGGTAGGGGAACATCTGCTCCTCGAGCTTTCCGGAAGTGAGCAGCCCCTGTCGTAGCCAAGAAACTCCTGGGTCTGTCCGAGGCGCCCTCAGACTCCCACGTGGCCCTCCATGCCCTGCTCAGCTTGCTGCTGTCTCCACACCCTCTTCTCCACGTCTGCAGCTCTGGGCTGTGTCTCCCCAGCTACCAGCTATCAGTGCCTGGTGGCGGCCTGGCTTTGGAGGAGAAAACTGAGAATAGTCTCTACTTCTGCAGTGCCCTCGCTTTTTAAAAGTTTAACCGTACCTAGTGTCCAGGTATGTTTTGAAATTTTCTCAAAAAGTGACTTCAAGGCTAACAGCACAGGCCACGGTGGAGAACGGTACTTCGGGTGTGGTTCCCCCATCTCCGTGACACAGCCCGGCTCCAAGTGGCCTAGCAGGGACGCAAGGCTTCTCCACACATTTCGACTGTGACTCAGGGTAGGAAGTTCTTTCCGTGTGTATCTTTACACATGACATATGCTAAAATAAAGGCTCGTGAAAGATAACCTGCCTTAAAACGCACAAGCTGTGTAATTTTATTTTTAAAGTGTCAGCTTATAGAAAAGTAATTGATTTCACTTCCCACTAATGGGTTTGATCAGCCTTGTAGTTTTAAGTGAATCTGTCTCATCCCTGCAGCAGCCGGGTCACTGTAGCCCCCGCTCAGCCCAGAGCTGCAGGTGGCTCACCACGACTGATGGGAAGTTGTGGGTCCCTCCACCCAGATACACCCAGCAGTTGGAGGGCTCTGAGCCTGACACACAGCCTCGGCCTGACATTGGGTGACAGGGCTGGGTGTGGCCTTGCGGCCATGTCCTGGCTTTGCTGCTTAATAGTCATGTGGTCATGGGCAAGTCTCTTCATCCCTGACACTCAGCTCCCTCATCAGTGACGGCTGGAATTGGAGGCCCCACCACCATGCAGGGCGTTTGAAATACAGGTGAATTCATGAACCATAGAACCCTGGCATTGCCCACACCAAGTGGACGTTCAGTCAGGAGCCTCTGGAGTCTGTGGCACCATGCTGCCCCTCCCGCCTCTGTCTTTACTCCTGCATCAGCGCCTGCCACCCCACTCCCTTAATCCTCAAGTTACTCAAGGCACCGAGACTCTGGCCCCCAGACGGTGAGCTCCTCAAGGGCAGGGGCTGCCCCTGATTCTCCCGACAGGTGCCTCAGGCTCATGTGTGCACTTGGCGCTGGATTCAGGTGGCTGCTGTGAGCCTCGCTGTGTCCTGGGGGCCCATCTCAGCCAACGGTATTTAACATGGCAAACTCCGCTCAGATGGTAGATCTGTGCAGCCCTCTTCCTCTGTGCTTTCACGAAGGTGCTTCATTTGACTTTGTTCTTCCAAATCCCCTGTTGAGTGTTCTGGTCAGCCTCCTCCCTGCCCGCCATCCACACATTGCGCTGGGACCTAAGTGACAGCTCCGCCTCCTCTGCCAGCCAGAGCCCTACCTGCACGCCCGCCGCCACCCTGCGTTTTGGTTTAATTTTTGTTCTTTTAAGCTTCTGCGCTTCTCCATGTGCTGTGATCTATAACCTGCCTCTACTGTCTGGCCTCACAGGGTCCTCCGGGGTCACAGCCCTCGCCGCACGCACAGCCTCCACCTCACAATCCCAGCAGCATGATGGGACCCCACAGTCAGGTAAACGCACCGGCTCGCCCGCCTGCCCGCCCGCGGGGGGCGCGGGGCAGGAGGAAGGACAGAGCCAGCAGAGGAAAAACAAAAATCAAAATGTGCTCCAGCCCTTGCCTTTGAGTCTTTCTGGACAAATTTAATTGAAAAAAGGAAAAGAAAATTTTTTTCCCCTGAAGATAGTCTTCATTCCTTGGCCAGCACACCCAGCTTGGATACGAAACCAAGAGAAAAGAGAAACATTTCTGTGACCTTGTCAGCGGCCTTTGCGTTTTTGTTTTTTCCTCTCTCACTTTTGGTTTGGTTTTTGAGTTTGGTTAATCATTTGTTTGTAACCGGGACTGCATCCCGAGCCTTTTCTTTGTGCGCTCTCGCTGCTGAGAAAGCTTCTGGCCCATTCTCCTGCATCGTTAGGGAGCCCCTCCCCATCCCTGTATCGGTTTCCATCACGTTTCCCTCTGATCCTCGCTCCCCGTCCACGCCTCCCTGTCCGTGGTTTCTGTGTGTGCACATGTGTGTGTGTGAGTGTGCACGCGTGTCCAGCTCTGTGTGCAGACCCTGAAAACAAGTCCCTGCTCTTACTCTTTTATTTGCCCGTACGGAAAGCAGAGGTGGCCTCCCCTGCCCTGTGTTGATTTAACTGCTCTTCTGCGACCTACAAATTCCCAGCTACTACCCACCTAGCAGATCTTCTCAGACCAGTGCGGAGTGGGGAGATGCATTTGTTGTGGGGAATCACTGCCCTTGGGAAGTTTTGTCCAGAGGGAAGAGGCTACCGGGAGAAAGAGAGCTTAAGAGATCGTTAGTTGTAACAAACTGGACTCGGTGGAGTGGAGAGCATTTGTGTTTGTCACTGTGCAGGAGCACAGGCTATCATTGAACTAATTCCCTGTAATTGCAGCCTTTTATGTCACCGCGATACGCAGGCGGCCCCAGGCCCCCGATCAGAATGGGAAACCAGGTACTGTACCTTTTTCGTGTTCTCTCTCCTCTCACTCAGCCATCTGTAGCCCTAGGTGGACTTTGACTCAAATCAAGATTTGGGGGAAGGATGGAGGGGTGGAGGGCCCTGTTCTTAAATTGGGGGGTAACTTACTAGCAGGCCAACTCTGCACCCATAGTGCGGGGTTTGACCTGCCTGCCCTGGAGGACCTCAGGCAACCCATTCTAGGGTTCAGGAAGCAGCAGCAACTGCAGTCTGGGTGGGATTGCAGGATCTGTGTGTGCTTCCAGAGAAGGTGGTAATGCTGATGCCCCTCCCTTCCAGCCCTTTCTTGGAAGAGGGTCTTCCTCCTTAATGAAGTTAATTGACAACGTGCATTTTTTCCTGGAAGCTTTTGAGAATTGCCAAGGCTGGTAAATATAATCCTGCTATTAGGGGGAGAAATGGCCCATAGGAATGCTTAGATCAGGATCCTGGCTGCAGTGGAGCAGGGCATTTGTGAGTTTTTAGGCAATGTCTGCCTGCTTCCCAGACCCAACTCAAAACAAGGCAGGATTTGTTCGTGTAATTAGGAAAGCAGTGTGCTTGCAAAGAGGGCTTTTCAGCCTGAGGTTGCAGGCCTTACTGTGCCCTGTGAGGTTGGCAGTTCTAGGTGGTCCAGGGAAATTGGTCCCCATGCCACCCTCCCTGTTCAGCCACTCCAGGGGCGGGAGGGGAGCCAGAGAGGTCAGGATGCATAGTCACCTCTCTTGAAGGAAGACAAAAGCAACACTTGGGAGATATCTTTTTGTGCCAAAATATTTTTAATAGTTCTTTCAGTGACTTTGCAAAAGCCTTTCAAAAATCCATCAGCAGCACTAGCACACCAAGGCCTTACCTCCTTCGGAAGTAGGAGTTTAGTCACCAACTAGGTTGGCATTGTCTGAGTGGCATTCTGTCCACGCTCTGCAAGGAAGCGCTGGGTGAGATGATTCAAGGGCTGCAGTGAGGACCTGGAGTGAAGAGGCCCCCGCCCTCGTTTCAATGTGAAACTATCAGGCTTCCGCTTTTATGTTTTGCCTCCCAGAATCCTTTATTTCCTGTTTTCTCTGACATGAACAGATTTGGATAAGAAGAATCAGAAAGCCAGCTTTTTGATCAAGGGCTCCTTTGGGGCTGGGGATGTGACTTAGTGGTGGAGCTCTTGCCTTGCATGCAGAAGGCCTTGGGTTCTATCCCCAGTTCCACTGTTGGACCCATCACAGATGAGAAACAGGCTCACGATGGGCTGGACGTGGGTGAGGCCTCAGCACCCAAGCCTGGGGTGCACTCCGCTACCCGCTGCCCAGCTACTCAATTCTCGAAGTTGGAAAATTGCTGCTCCCAGCTTCTGTTTTTCCCGTCACCAAGTGAACTCCTTTGCCGATGTACGCACAGGCCTGGGAATGGCCATCTTCCTGTCTGCTGGGGGTTGTCCTTGGCCCAAACCAGCCACCACCCCAGGGAGCCAGTGAATACTTGCTGCTGTCATGGTGGTCCTCCTCCCAGCAGTTAAGGGGAAGGGACAGGGAGAGTATTTCTCTGCAGCAGTTAAGCACAAGTAGGTCTGCAGCTTGTGTGACAAATAGTTTTCCCAGTCTCTCTGCAAGCTCTTTCGGAATTCCACACTGACTTTCCAGTTTCCCTGGAACTCCATACAGCTTTGTCTCCCAAAGGCAGACGTGTCCCCTTCACAGTATTGCCCCTGGGGTTCTGTGGAGAGCACCTCAGTTGGAGCCCCCCAAGTTACCTCTGTCCTCTCCTGCAACAGGTGGAAGAGCAGAGGCGAGGGACTTGCTTGGGCTCACGTGGCCCACTTCCTGTGCCATCTGGACTATAAGCAGGGCTTGGGGAATCAGAAGCTGATAGCCACTGACTTGGCCCCGGAGCCTTCAAGGCCAGGCTCCTTGCTAGGGGTTTGGGGCTGTGGGCAGAGTGCTCCTCTTTTCAAGCTAGGGTGGCTGCGGGTGGTGAAGAGTGGACTTCAGTCAGGTTTGAGAATGGAGGGACTAGAATCTGGATGGTCAGACGCCCTTTCGGTACCTCTTTGCAGAGCTCCCACTGGCGGACAGGTGAGTGGACCACAGGGGCAGCTGGCATTCATGCTCCCTATGCCTGGCTGCACAGAGCTGCAGGAGAGGTGGCCACCTGCCTGCGGGAGCCTGGGGGCCAGGCCCAGAGCACCTGTCCTCCGCAGCCGCATCTAGGAGCCCTTGTGTTTCCCGGCTGTGTTTGAGGACTTCAGTCTTCTCCATGCCAGACTGATCCTCCTTGGTCACGTAACACCTTCCTCCTTTACAGTGAAGGCCCAGACTGTCCCATCCCTATCTATCTCAGGGTCAACCCAGGGAGAGAAGTGCCTCTCCAGGTCTCTGGACGGCTCCCCTTCCCCCTGGAAGGCAGGGCACGTGGCAGATGGAGGGGAAGCCAGAGAACCAGTGTCAGTGTGACCACCGGCAGAGGGCGTGGCTGCCCAACCCCTGTAGCTGCTCTGTTGTGCTCGGTGGGGTATTCCTGAGCTGGGTACCTTGGGATTTGGAGGTCCCCCTTCCTTTCAGCTTCCTGAGCTCCCCCAATCCAACAGCTCAAAGGTGGCCTTCCTGAGGCCTCCTCAGAGCTGGGGCCTAGAGGCGGGGAGCAGGGAGAGAGCAGTAGGGGTAGCCGGGGCCCAGTGCTCAGGACAGTTCTAGGTACCTTGGGCAGGTGAGATGTGAGGGTCAAGGGGCCTCCTTGTATCCTTGCTGCCCCAGCCACACCCCTTCCTTTTTGAAGCCCAGAAAGCCGGGAGGGTTTATCCCCTGACTTCCCACAGCCTTGGTCCAAACCCACTTAGAGGTTGCTGTTGGGCCCAGGGCAGATGAGTTGCCTGCTCAGCTGGTCCCACCAGGCCATCAGGGCTGGCGGTGCTCAGGGGTGGTGCCCTGTCACCGGTGCCCTGCCCTTCAGGAGCACTGGGAGCCATGGCCAGCGGTCACCAAAAGTTTCTTCCACCTAAAAGAGGAGCTTATGTTTGGTTCCATGGCATGGAGTCCTAGAAGCTCACTTTGCTCACATTCTACAGTTTTTCAAATTGCAGCTGAAATAATCAGAAGTAAATTGCTTTGATAGGTTGTCACAGCATTTGTGTCCGGCGCTCCCCCAGGGCCACAGCACCCGGTCCCACCCTCTCAGCCACAGTCACACTGGCACCCGTAACCCTTGAGGAGGAGGCTTCTTTCAGCAACCCCCACTCTGCTGCCCGAGGCCGCCTCTTTTCCCCAGGGCTGGGAGGCTGGGGTGCTTGCTATGGCTCAGCTGATACATGGCCCAGGGTCCTTGGATACCCGGATCTCTGAACCTCTCAGGCCTCCTTGCCCTGCCCCCTTTAGAAGGCTGCCTTGGGGGTAGGGTTTTAGCAGCAGATCTCTCGGCCCCCAAGCTTTGAATGGAGACTTAAAATGTGCTACATCTCTGTAAAATGTGCTACATCTCTGTGAACCATAAGGGAGATGGGAGAGGCTGAACTGTAGCGCCAGGGTTCAGGACCTGAATGGTCCTCGACAGCTCGGTGGGGACCCAGCGGGGCAGGTAGATGCCTCTTCCCTCCAGCCACCAGCTCTAGAGTGCAGCTGCTCAGCCTGTGTCTCGCATCTCTTTCAGCCGCCAGGAGGAGTTCCTGGGACACAGCCATTGCTGCCCAATTCCATGGATCCCACACGACAGCAAGGTAGAGAGGACGGGGCAGGTGGCCTGGGGCCTCAGGAGGGCTCCTCCTTGCTCTGCTTCTGCCAGCCCACAGCTCCCATCCCTTCCTCTCTCATGCAGGCCACCCCAACATGGGAGGATCAATGCAGAGGATGAACCCTCCCCGAGGCATGGGGCCCATGGGTCCTGGCCCACAGGTAACCAGCCGTCTGTTCTGTCCCCCATCTCCCTAGCCATCTGTGTGCACCCGCCTCCTCTCCTCTTTCCAGTCTGTCTGTCTGCCGTGTCTGTGGATTGAGAGGAAGACCATGCCCAGGTCCGTGCTCCCCCAGGGCAGAAGGCAGCAGGCAGAGTTGAGGAGCCTGCTGGTTGGCAGAGAGCCCTCAGGGATGGGGTGTCCTAGTGTGTGGTTTGAGGAATTTGAAAGGCAGGAGGCCTGGTGCCCGAGCCGTGGGGTGGGGGGAGTGGGGGAGTTCCAGGAATCCCAAAGCCAGCTACCGTAAGTAGGGTTGACCTGAGATGGCTCCAGGCCCACAGTGTTGTGACCCAGAAATGGAGCAGCTGAGCACGGTTCTAATTTGTCTGTCCTTGGGCCCACTGAGGCCAGAGTCTCAGTTTCCTCCCCTGTTAAATAAGCAATGAGTTGGATCCATGGTCTCGAGTGAATGAGAGGAGGACAGGCTGCCAGGATACCGGGCTTCTTCATAGGCCAGGCTTCTGTGAGATAGTTCTTCTGACCAGACATCTGTGTTGTCAGAAAGAGCAATTCCAAAACCTCTGGAAGACATTGTCTCAGGAGCCTCGTGTACCCTGGATGGGCACAGCTGCACACCCCACTGGGAAGGACCGCCTTGGCAGGATGTGACCAGCCTTGCCTTTCTAGAAGCTTCTGCCGGTTGCCCCTGTCCCTCTTGAGTGCTAAGATATAGCTGTTTGCTGTGTTCCACCTCCTTAGGAATCCTCTGGACCTGCCTATCTAAGAGAAGCTAGAAAGCAGAGTCAGGAGAGGGGCTTCTCTTGGTGTGAGTGGGGTGGGGGTGGGGGTGGAGTCTTGGTACGGGTCTTTATTTCTTCTGCCTGCCAGCCGGCTGGCCCTGCCCCTCCTTGTGTGCGTGTTTATTTCACATCTGGGCCTCTCCATGGGTTCCCAGCATAGGAGGGTGGCAGTGCCCTCACCCCCTTCTGTAGGGAGCTGTCTGCCCTGCCTCAGCCTCAGCTCTAGTCCATTGCCTTCTCAGTCCATGCTGGTTGGAACACCTGTGGTGTTGACAGATTTTAGGGGGACCTGTGCTTTCTGGACCATATTCTTAAAAGGAAACAAGTGCACCTCGATGGCAGCTCTAGTGGTTTTGTTTTATTTTTCCTTGAGCCTCCAGGGTTCATGTTTACTCTTTTAAGCCATGGGATTGGCCCTGCCGTGCCTGGCTGCTGTCTCAAGCAGACTTCTGCAGGGCCGCCAGTGGGAGGGGACAGAAAGCGGGCGCCCTCTGTGGAGTCAGAAATGATTCTCCATCCCCTCAGCCCCAGTCCTGAGGCAGTCACTGATCCTTGCTGAGGAGTTCGCAGTGGGCTTGGATTTCCCAAACATCATGGGAGTTCTGAGTGATTCAGGAGGACGGACTCTGCAGAGGGAAATTTTAATTCCATCACCCTATGGCCGAGGACGTGCCTTGGGAGGTAAAATGGGAACTAGCACAGTACCTGCCTTGGGAGGTTGCAGAAAGGAGCGCAGTCAAGTTCTTGGTGTGATACCTTGAACTTGGAAGTCCCGCTTAGGAAGCAGCTTACCGTTTTCGACTTTGGGAACATAAAACTGGTGTCCAGGACTGTGGTTGTTTGGGTTTGGTGGTTGCTATTAGGTTCTTCTCCCCAACTCCCCTCTTTATTCCCTGGCAAAGCCACCAGCAATTTGTGGAGCCTGTAGTAAGATTGAGAGTGTAGAAACTGGACAAGGATGCTGGCATAGCGTCTGAGGGGAGAGTGTCCCGGAAGTGTAGGGCTTCCTCCTGGGGCTGGGGCTGCCTCATGTCACCCCAGCGTGTTCTTTTTAGTCTTTTTCCCTAAAGAGCAAGGGTTCTGGAGGCTGAGGTCATGCTAACTGGCCTCCTGTGCTGGGGCAGCTCTCCCAGCCTCGCTGAGCAGTGGGCCAGGGGTGGAGCTCTCCTGATCTCCAAGGGAGGGAGGTGCATCTTGAGGGGCAGAAATCATCTCTTCTCTATTGTATTTTACTGTATTAATATGGAGGCCCTAAAGTGTTTTGCCCATGTCTTCTGTATCCCTCTGGGGAGAGTGAGGTATCAGACTCACCAACCCATCCCTGGGAGTGAGAAGGCCTGGCCTTGGTGGAGCACTGGGCCCAGGCAAGGCTGGTGTATGGGATGGCTTGCAGGGTCTGGGGACAGCTGGGCAGTGGACATCTGGAGAGTGGAACGGGCAGACTGTCCCATTTCCCAGGCCTTTCTTCTCAGTCACCTGAGTATACTGCCCAGGCACTCACAGGGGAGAGGAGAGGGAAGGTTCATAACTTGGTACTGGGAAATCCAGTTCTGACCACAGCTCATCCCACTCAGACTCTTGTCCCTCATCCGCAAAGTAGGCAGCCAGGTGGTTCCCTGTGGGGCAGGGCGGGACAGTGTCTGTGCACACTCACCCTGTGTCCTGTGGGTCCTGTCTCCTTCCTTCGGGAACTAAGCTCCATCTTCTACCCCAGACTTGGCTGTTAGGGAGGGCAGCCAGCTCCTCTAGGCAGCCTGTGGTGGGCACAGTGTCACCCTGACACCAGAATGAAAGGTGGGCGCCACTGGTGTGTGAATCTCAGCAGGGAATTAGACTGCTTAGCTAGTGAACCTTCCAGAACTTTCTGAACAAAAACAGGTACAATGTGGTCGTGGGGCCACTTTATAGATTTCAAAACCAAGTAAAGTGACATTCAATTTTTTTGACCCTAAACTACTCCAGCAAACCAGCAGCCCAGGCATTACCCTATGTTTTGCCTTCAGGGACCCAGACCAATTTTGCTCTGGGTTTGTGAAATGGCCAGCGCCAGAAAGGATGCTGAATGTCTTCTTCCCTAGCTCTCTCTGACGTGTCACTGTCAGACAGTGACTTTTTGTCCAGGTGTTTTGAAAGTGGATTCTTTTTGGTACCGGGAATGGAACTCAGGAGGCAGGTGCTGTGCTGCTGAGCTGTATCCCCAGCCCTGTAGGTGAATTATTTTAGATGAGGCCGAAGCTACAAGACTCCTTTTAGATCTTGGTGGATAGTGGAAGACCCTATCAGGGACCTTTGGGTAGCAATTCCCAGAGCCATCATCCCCTTAGAGGTCTGGTACTTGGATTGGGACTTGTATTAGTCAACTTTTTAGTGCTGTGACAAAAAGACATGGCACCCAAAGGAGAAAATATTGGCTCCTGGATTCAGAGGGTTCAGTCTGTAGTGGGCCGGCTCCAAGGGAACAGTAGGGCATAAGGAAAATGCCCAACTCATGGCAGCCGGGAAGCAGAGCAAGGAAGAGCCAGCGAAAAGTGGAACAGGGGTCCGATACAGTCCCCAAGGTCACACCCATGGCCCATCCGGGCGCACCCAGAAGTGTGCTTTACTAATCCTTAGGTGGTGCTCAAGCCAACCAAGTTGACAGTCAAGAGTGACCGTCACAGAGCCAGAATCACGTTACCATCCTGGCTCATACAATGTTCAGGGACGTTCAGATGAAGGATAATGCACAATCTCCAGGGACAATCCTGTGCCACCCTTGGGCCCCTGCTGACCCAGGGCTAGTCTGAGTGCAGTCTCTGAGCAGAGGCCTTGGAAGGAGGTGGAGGATCGTCAGTGCTGGTGCAGAGCCCTTGGGTGTGATGAGGAGGAAGTGGGGCTCCCAGGAGCTGCCTAGAAACTTGCCGGACAGCACAGCCTCCCTGAAGACCAGCTGGCTCATCCTGTCCTGTGGTAAAGACAGCACCAGGCAGGCCACAGGAAGCATGGAGAAAAAGGCCCTCTGAGGCTGTCGCAGGGAACAGTGCTGTGTGACACCTTCTCATGTTACTGTGGAGCAGAGGCTGAGACTGAGAGAGTGAGGCCTGTGTTCTTGTAACCCTGGACCAGAGCCCCTGCCCAGGGTCTCAGCCACCTCAGACGACGTGAGCATGTGGACAGGGCAGACAGACTCCACGCGGGTGGTGGCCCCATCCTTGCTGTGCAATGCTGAGGCAGGCGAAGGAGAGTGTCTGGTTAGGAACCATGTCTTCCCCTCCAGCCGCGCCTGCTGCAGTTGGGAAAAAACTGGGAGGGCAGGAGCCCATTGTGCTGGGGGCTCGGAAACCATCTGCTGGGCCTGCAGCCCTTGTGTGGAAACCTGGTGTTTCTGATTAGAAAACTGACCCAAACCTGACTTCTGTTCAGCTTTCACACCCGACTCTGCAGGTGGCGCTGGCCAAGATTCTGACCTCTCTGGGCTTCCAGGTTGTCGTGTGTGAAGCAGAAGTGTGCATGACCCTTGGGGTCTGCATCTGCAGGAAAGCTCCCTGCAGGCCGGGGAGGGGCAGGAGCTGCAGGGCTGTTCCCCCTTCCCTACAGCCTCCCGTGCTGCGTGTCCAGCTGTCTCATCCTTCTAGGAGACCGTCCTCCCTGTTCTGAGCTCCCCTCGCCCTGACTACAGGCCTTTCCCCCGGCTTGGGGAGCAGCTGCTGCAGCTGCACGTCCAGAAGGTCTCATTGTCCCTGGAGCCCATGTCCAGCAGGCTGTGCTGTGCACAGTGGACAGGAGGAGGGTGCTGCCACATGGTGAGCTTCCTGTGCAGTGTGGACAGTGGCACATGGGTCTTAGAAAAGGCTTTTGAGGCCTACGCTCTGCAGTGCCACAGCCATGTTAAGGGCTGCTGTGTCTGTTCCACTGCCACCATCCCCGGTGTGTGTGCCTCCTGGGCTCATGACAGTCCTTGTGGGCCCTGGAAGGATGGGACCTCATGGGCTCTTTGTGCTCATTGTACAGACAGGGTAGTCAGTGAGCCAGAGCCAGGCTACAGGGCGTCGTCCCAGCTCAGCCACGTGTAGCTGGGCCCCAGGGCCGGCACTGTGCTTCAGCATCTCCGTTTTCAGTTTCTAAAGCTGGGGGACTACAGGAGTTGCTGGGACCATTAAGGATGAGTGATAGCAGCTGGCACAGCTGGCGTGAGGAAGCATTGTCTCTATTTGTGTAGTTTGCCAGAGCCACCAGCAAGTGCCCCAGCTGAGGCCAGCTCTCTATGTACTGACCTCAGGTTTCAGGCTCTGCTTCACCACTCTGGGCACCGAGCACCCGTCTCACTTGGGCCTGGCCCTGCAGCGCGGGCCCCAGGATAACTGCCGCTCATCTGAGAAAGCACAGGGGACAGGAGTCTTAGTGCGTGCTGGCTCCCAGCAAGATCAGTGGCTTCCTGTCCTTCCTCCCTGCAGGCCTGCCTGCTGCCAGCCCGCCTGGTGTTGCTCCCTGGTTGTCACTAGCCTGCCTGGGTGTTCTAGACCCCAGGCCTCTGTGGGTGAGCAGGTGGCCCCAAGACAGCAGTAGGACATGGGAGCCAGTTCCTGGAGAAAGACCCATCAGCCTCCAGCTTCAGCTCTGCTCCATCCCTCAGAGGGGTGGTGAAGAGCGCAGGTGCAGGGGCTGCTGGTCCAGGTTAAAGCCCAGCTCTGCCTATGCCTTAAGCAAACCTGCCTCCCACAGACCTTCACTCTCCCTTGTTGGTGAGATGGAAATAAGCCAGGCCTCATGGGGTTGTGGTATGGATCAAAGCAGAGACTGACCGGAAAGCGTGCTTGGGCTTGGTGAAGGGCAGCTGTGCTGGATCTTCCTTTGCTATTCAAATTCCATCACCACCTTTCCCTGACAGCTCAGTACTGGCTAACTGAGCCAGTCCATGCTGGCTGCAGTGCTTGTGCAGGCCTTGCGAAGGCCCTTGGCATCCAGCAGGAGAGGTGGGGGGTGGCCACGTGGCCGTGTCATGGTACAGGGTGGTGTGGGCAGTGCTGGGACAAGGGCCTGGGGCATTCTGGGAGCAACTTCATGGAGCAGTAACCCCGGGGAGCAGGTGGAGACAGGTCACGGGGGCGGTGCCTCTCGGGCTGAGCATTGGGAGGACAGGGAAGATCCCAAATGGGGATGGAGGCGAGGTGGTTACCTCTGTGAGGAGAACAGCACCCAGGAAGGGAGGTCCGGCACCGGGGTCGGGCGGGAGGTACCTCTTCCTCCCTGCCGCCTGCCCCAGTGAGTTATACTGAGCTATATGTGGGTCCCAGAAGTGTCTTGAGTGTGTGTAGTGGACTCCTCAGCCAAATGGTGATCTCTCAAGTAGAAGTGGAGTCCTTCCTGCTCTCCAGCACTGTGACATGTGGCCAGGATAGGGACCTGCCTGGGGCAGCTGGGTTCTGTCCATGCCACACAGCCGCTTCTGTGTTCAGGCTTGCTCTGTGCCGCCCCGCCGGTCTTCAGAGTTTAAGTGTCTGCTGTCACCTATCCGCTCCACGACCCGTCCCTCCCTCCCACGTGCCCCGGGCCTGTGGGGAAGGTGCAGGCTAGTAGCTTCTGAGACTATCACCCCAAAGCCCCGTAAAACACACTGACCATTGTGACTGTCCCTCTGTGCTAGCTTGTCATTGTGGTTCCCACCCCATGTTTTTTGACAGAATGTATTGTTTTTTCTCATCGGCTCCTTCACAGACTAACCCTTTCGCTTATGTTCTGTCTGTCTGTTTTCCTTCCCTCCTCTCTCCGGTTCCCCTTCTCCTTCTCATAGACTGACCCTTGGTTATCGTTGCAGAATTACGGCAGCGGCATGAGACCACCACCCAACTCCCTCGGCCCCGCCATGCCCGGGATTAACATGTAAGGCAAAAGGCCCTGGCCAGGCTCAGAGCCCGTGGCCCTCCCCGCCCTCTGCTGGCATCTGGCAGGCTCAAGCTAGGAGTCCATGCTGGGGCCTCTCTGGACCTCAGTCACCTTGGTGGCAGGATGAGGCTGTTGATGACCCTGAGGGTGGGAACCCAGGCTCCTCTAGGGCCAGTGAGCCTGGCGGCATTGTGGGCATGCTGCTGGGACTCGCTTGCCTGGTCTTCATGATAATCCAGGGAGGCACTTATCATCCCGTGTATGAGGTCACTGAGGAACAGAGAGGTCAGGTGACTTTCCCAGGTTCACACAGCCTTTCATTGGCTGAATAGAAATCTGAGCCCCTGTAGAGGTGGCAACTGTTCTTTAATGCTTAATGATTTTAACCTTTTTGGTATGTATGAGAATTGTGGACTGCCTTCCTAGGAAAACACACATTCGGAGGAATCTTATGCGTTTTGTAGATGATTTTGAAAACGTTATATATTTTACATAGAATTTTAAGGAGTCCATAGATCACCACCCTTGGAACAAGCCATTATTACGGCAGAGCCAGTTGGCCTCTGAGCCCCTAGGACCATGCACAGGGCGGCCTGTTCTGATGTCAGCCCTCTCTTCTACCCCTGCCGGCCCGCCCCTTAGATGAGCCACGCTTGTTCATTGTCTCGTCTCTCCCTCCCAGGGGCCCGGGAGCTGGCAGACCCTGGCCCAATCCCAACAGTGCTAACTCAGTGAGTATTTAGGCGGGGCAGGGTTTGCCAGGGAAGAGCTTCCGGGGGCAGGGTGACTCCTGTCTCCAGGGGATGTCAGGCAGGGAGCCTGCAGTGGGATTCTGCCCACCTGGGGTCAGTGACAGCTGCCCCTGGGGTCAGAAGGTGATGTTCGAGGAGGAGACCCCTGCCAGTCTCCTCTAGCAGGTCTGGCTCCCAGCATCCCCAAGGAGGAGGGGGCAAAAGGCGAAGCACTGCAGTGCAGCGCGCATGCCAGCCGGGGGGAGAGTGGAGCCTGCCCCCTCCTGCCCTGCCTTCTACCCCGGAGGTCTCCGGGCCGCAGCGCCAACCTCCCTATGCAGCCTGGGCGGGAGGAGACCAGCCTCGGAGGATCTGTGCTGGGTGTCGCTCCCACCCCAGCCCTCCTGGGGAGCTGTCTGGCACCGAGCACACTGGGACCTGAGGCTTTTCTGGGAAGAGGGGTTGCTAAGCAAAGGGGTACCACCTGCTAGGGAGGTGACTCCGACGTGCAGCTCCCACATCTCCTTTCCAGATTCCATACTCCTCCTCATCGCCTGGCACCTACGTGGTAAGCATTGGGCCTGGGGTGCTGGTTTTCCACGTGTGACCGGCTGCACGTGGAGAACTGCTTGGGGTCCCTGCCTGTCCCTGGCAGACATGTTCTGGGCACAGGTTCCAAACTGTGACTTGCAGTCAGTGTAGACCTGGGGGGTCCAGAAATCTCCAGACAAGACCTGGGAGGGGGCTCCCGGAGAACCACCCAGAAGGCTGTGTGGCACCCCCTAGGCCTCTGCTATCACCACTGGGTGTGCCGATGAGCTGCCTCTTAACTTGAGGAGCAGGAGGGGGACCCCGAGCCCAGCCCCTTGGCCAGGCTCACAACCCTCTGTGAGGGCCTGGAGTTCAGTGGGAGGAATGCGCCTGGGCGGGGCAGTGATCACTGCTTGCCGGGAGGGGGTGTGGTGGCCTCTCCTCATACCTGGTACCACCCTGAATGACTGATGCCAGCTTCTGCCTCTCAGGGACCCCCCGGAGGTGGCGGCCCTCCAGGAACACCCATCATGCCTAGTCCTGCAGGTAAGAGGGTTGGGGGACAAGAGGCCTCCAATGGGCAGCAGTTGCTAGGGAGCCCTGGAGGGAGGGTGCAGAGCCGGGCTTAGCAGCCACTCCTTCCTGAGCAGCATATTCCCTGTAGGCATTGAGACGTCAGGACATTTAGGGGCTATAGGCCCTTGATGCCAGCGACCCACTGTGTGGCTTCGGACGGGTCACATTTCTTCTGGGTCTCAGACACTGCAAGGCTGAGCGGAGAGATCGGGGAACAGGGCTCCTCACTGCCCTTTGCTCTCCTTGTTAGGGAGAACCCTGTCCAGGGTGGGCATTGCCTGACAACACAAGATGGTCTTTGGTGCCCTATTTATTGTAAGCCGTGATCCCTCTTGAGTGTCCAGAGCTCTGGGCTTCTACACCTCTTCAGGAGATCCCTTGTCCCATTTTCTTTACTCAGAAGAGTGCATGTGCCTGCACCCGTGGGCATGTGCACACACTCACGCAGCGTCACACTTCTGTGTCTTTCCCAGCTAAGAATAGCACGCCCGCCAGCCAGAAGGGATTCAGCACAGCCCTTGCCCATCCCAAAAATAAAAAGTGAGAGGCAGTCAGGATTTCTGCCTGAGAAATCCAGGGCCTGCTCCTGTGGAAGCATATCAGCCGATTTCCTAGGGAGGCTTCACTGGCGAAGTGGGGAGCCAGAGGGGACCCTCCCCCTCAGTTCCTCTCACGGGGAAGCTGCTCTGCCGTGGGTAGAGCTGGCGGCCGAGATAGGGCCCTGCTCCGGCTTGCTCCTCCACTGCTGCATTTTGATGAGCTGCATGACCTACATTCAGACTGGGTCATGGTAACCCGCTCCGCATGTTAATGTGTCTCTGTCCCTGTCCTTGCCTCTTCCTTCTGCCCCTCAGCCTGGCAGGCCGGTCCCTGGGCAATTCTCGGCATTTCTCTCTCCCCCGTGGCGGTTTGGGAAGCCCAGGTGGTGACCTCGCCGCCCCTGCACCGTCCCAGGCAGTGGGGAGACAAGAAGAGAATCTGTAACCCCCGTGCTGCATCCATGCTGCTGTCTACACACCCTGAAATGCTTCATGGTGTGGTTGAGTGGTTTTCACAGTTGAATTTTCTGTGATTAAAAACTTTGTGAATCTTCATTAAATACAAATTAGCCAGAAAATGGTGGTACTTAGATGAAATTTTAGGTGATAAAATACAAAAGAATGAGTTCAAGTGCCACGAGTTTGTTTTAATTAAGAAATGAATTAATCACCTCGACTTGCGGGTTTCCTCTGTTCTACAGATTCAACAAATTCCAGTGACAACATCTACACAATGATTAATCCGGTGCCGCCCGGAGGCAGCCGGTCCAACGTAAGTCTGCTTTCTAGTAATTTACATATCAGATCCCATAACAAATCATAATTAACTTCATCAGCTGAGGGGAAAGCAAGTTTAATTGATTTCAGCCATTTGTTACCAAAGATGAATAAAATAAACTGTCAGAAAAGTGATTAACTCTTGGGCAACCCATTGCCAGTTCCATGGTTGGCGGGGTGGCGGAGGAGAAGGGGCCTGAGGCCGATGGCTTCGCCGACCTGGTCCTGTCCCCCTGGTCTCCAGGCTGTGTCCTTGTGCGTGGAGCGAAGGGTAGAGACCGCGGCAGGAGTGTCTGGGCCCCACTTACCCGGCATTGCTGCCAGGGGGTCTGGGACTCCTGAGCCCAGCAGCTCCGTCTCTCCCCAGGCCACGTTATTCCCTTCTTCCTCCAGACCAGCCTTCGAATCACCTTGCAGTGTGAAGCCTCACCCCTCCTGCCTGTCCCCTGAGCCCATGGGGCAGGCTGGCCGTGTGGTCGCGCCGCCTCCCTTGCGGGCTGGGAGTTCCTCCAGCACTGAGCCCGTCTGCTGTCTGCAGATGCTGTGTGCGTGCTCATCTCCCTCGCCCTCCTGTGTGCTGTGCAGCCTTGGCCCAGGAGCTGCAGAGCCACCCAGGCACTGTCTGTGGCCTGGGTCATGGCAGGAGGCCCTTTGGGGTGCACTGTTTGGCCTTGTTGACCCAGTTCCTGAGATGAAACCCAAGTCACACCATGTGTTGGGGTGGAATGTGGCTGCCTGGGCCAGTGCCCGCACACCCCCTCGGCAGCCCTCCGTGGCACTCCCTCTAGCCTGTGGATGTTACCAGGTTCTCATGGCTAGGGAGTGCTCCGACACTTTCTGTTCCACACCTTTCTCCTGGGCACCTAGCGCTTCCCCCTGCCCCAGCCTCATCAACCCCTCCTGACTGGGATTGTAGCACTAAAAGCTCTGCATCTGGAGGATTCTCAGGACATAAAATGTCCTGGGTGTTGGCAGTAGATGGAGAATGTTGAATAGAAAAGCGTAAGACCCATACAAAGGCCCGAAAGAAAACAACACTGGTTTTTATATTGTTTGGAGTTTTGTTTTTTTGTGCAGTCTGGCCTGAAACTCACATGCTGTTTTCAGTGCCAGATTATCTGCCTCCCATGGTCACTGTGCTCTGTACCTGCCCTGAGCATGGATGCTGGCATTCTGGCCTTGTACAGCGGCCTGAGGACCACTGTTCAGGGTGCCACAGTCACGGGCATCGTAAGAGTCCCCTCTGCCTGCTGCAGACTCTCACATGCACTTTGTGTTGAGACAGTGGTGGTTTCATTGTTAGCATTGTGAGTATCGTGACCGCATTTCTGTGAGCTCAGATCATGAAAAAAAGACACAAACTAGAGGCGACGTTGTCCATGCCAGCATGACCCAACATCGCTGGAAAAGAAAACCAAGTGGCTGTGTTATTTCAGTGACATCCGGAAGAACACACACAACTGGATTAGAGCAGAAGAGAACCCAAACAAAGCAGAGAGCGGAGGAGAATTTGGGATTGGGCATGGCCACGCAGGAGATGGGGAAGGACACACAGGCACGTCGTTCTGACTCTTGAGAGACTTGAGAGACTTCGGTGCTTAGTCAGAAATAGCTGCTGGATTGGCTTGGGCACACTCTGGAACGAGCCCTGGTACTGTCTCACTCCTGATTGTGCTGTGAACCAAGAAGGTTGCATTTCCTGATTCAGAGGTGACATGGGAAGTCCTGTGTGTGCACGAAAGAGAGGGGAGTTTTGATAGCAGATGTGTTGGCCCTGGGAGGAGCAGATCTGTCTCCTCTCACCAGCAGTACAGCAAGGATGCCCCAGAGCATGACCAGGAGTGTGTGGCAGGCAGTGGAGAGGCTCAGCTCGAGCACATGCCTAGCATGTCTGAGATGCTGCGTTTAGTCCCCAGGACTGCAGGACAAAAAACCCCAAGTTCCTGCTAGGTCTTAGCATGGTGATTTAAAAACTGGAGTTTTAAATAGTATGTATATCCATGAAGATTTTACCGAAACCGCAGGGAAAGATTATTGTTCTCTTCCCAGACACAAACTAGGCATTGCTCATTTATCTGCATGTTCGGCAGAATGCACAGTTAGTTTTGGCAAGTTTCGTTTAGCCTACAAGCATCTTACTATTAGGAATGAAAATATCTTACCTGCTAAAGTTCCTGTACACCTTACGTGTTCCTCTGTTTGTAGCACATGATTATATTCATTGTGGGCAAAAAATTAATTCTTTTTACTTCCCCTTTTCCGTTTCCTGTCCTCCTCTCTTGGTCCCTTTGGGTCACTTTTCAATGTCCTCCTCAAAGCTGCAGAAGAACTTAGAAATGGAAAATGTTTCCCACATGCCCACTGGTGACTGCCATTGCTGCTGCCGTAGAAAAGGTGTTCAACCTGTGTGCCCGCTGAAAAGTCTGTATTTATTAAAGTGGGAGCCAAGAAGGGTTCAGTGACCCTCTCTGCTGTGGAAGCAGGTGTGAGGATGGAGATGGAGTTGCGGGGAGAGAGAGGTGTGCCTGCTCCTCCAGGTTTCTGTGCTCCCAAGAGAGGCCTCCAGGAGCTACCTGAGTTGTTCGCCACATGGAGATTACAGCAGAACCTCACGCTGCAGAAAGAATGACCCGTTTTTTGAGAATGAGACTGCTTGAGAACTCAAAAAGCAGCATGAGAAAGGGCAGCCAAGTTAGCAGGACTTCTTCAGTTTTTTTTTTTATTAAAACGTAACTTACTTGGACTCTATCTTGGATCTCCCAAGTTCTTTACCTCTGTGCTTTGAAACCATTCTTCCTGAGAAACAGAAGTTTCACCTGCAGTGATCTGCACTTCATAGTGTGTGCAGACATTGGGCATGGTAGCAGGGTGGGTCCATCTGAAGACTCGTAGCTACAGAGGCCCTGACTGGTGTGCAGTCCAAAGGTAGCCTAGACCTGCGGTGTAGGTCGAGAAGCTTCAACATACGAGCAGTCACAGTAGGAAAAGCAGCCGAGCCAGAACTTGCTACTGTGTCATGGGCCAGAAAGAACAGGTGAATGACTATATCCAAGGATGGAAGCAACAGGTGTTACAGTTTGCTATAGTTTACTGGTGTCATTTATTTAACTAGTCCTTCTACTAATTGCGGCTGTTAACGTGTCTTGCTGTTACTTTGTTCAAATAATAGCATTTATGGGGCTGGGGATTTGGCTCAGCGGCACAGCACCTACCTGGCAAGCGCAAGGTTGTGAGTTCGATTCCCGGTACTGGAAAAAAACAAAACAAAACAAAAAAATCAAATACTAGCATTTATGTAGCAGAAGTAAACAACACAATAAATAAACGTGCTGGCACAACTGGATATCCCCATGCAGGCATGAGATCAGACTGTTGACACAAGTGCACAAAAACGAGCTCAAGGTGGATCATAGACCGACACGTCAGGGCTAGCACTATAAAGCACCTAAAATGTAGAGGGCGATCTTCATGACCCTGGTGAAGCAAAGCCACCTTAGAACTAACACCAAAAGCACAAATAACACAAGAAGAAAGTGGACAAGTGGGAGGTTTTATGCATCAAAGGATACAAACAAGAAAGGTAAAAAGAGATGGGTGCTGTCCAGAAGCAGCTACCTGGCTCCTTCTATGTTGAGCCTGCCTATCTTTACCCCAGCCTCCTCCGTGGCCATGCAGGTGACCCAGAAGTCCTACAAGGTGTCCATCTCTGGCCCCTGGGCCTTCAGGAGCTTCTCTTACCCCAGCAGGCCGGGTTCCCACATCAGCCACTCCAGCTTCTCCCAAATGGGCAGCAGCAGCAGTAGTTTCCGGGGTGGCCTGGGGCTGGGCAGCTGGGCGTGGTGTGGGGAGCATCCCAGCCATCCAGGTGAACCAGAGCCTACTGAACACCGTGAACCTGGACATGGACCCCAGTATCTAGGCAGTGCACATTCAGGAGAAGGAGCAGATCAAGAACCTCAACAACAAGTTCACCTCCTTCATCAACAAGGTGCGGTTCCTGGAGCCACAAGGTGGAGACCAAGTGGAGCCTCCTGCAGCAGCAGCAGCTGTCCTGAAGCAATGTGGACGACACGTTTAAAAGCTACATCCACCTCCACAGAGGTTGGAAGCTGCAGCTGGAGGCGGAGCTTGCAGCGTGCAGGGGCTGGTGCAGGACTTAGTAATAAGTACGAAGATGAGACCAACAGGCACACACCGGGGGGCGGTGGGGGGAGTGATGTTGTCCTCACAGGAAGGTTGGGGAAGAAGCTTACATGAACAAGGTGGAACTTGAGGCTCACCTGGAAGAGCTGAGTGACGAGGTCGTCTTCCGCAGGCAGCTGTGTGAAGGGGAGACCTGTGAGCTGCAGTTTCAGATCTCACACACATTTGTGGTGCCGTCCAAGGACGACAGCCACTGCTTGGACCTGGACGGTACCATCACTGGGGTAAAGGCCCAGTACGAGCAGATTGCCAGCCCCCTCAGCTGAGGCTGAGAGCATGTACCAGATCGCATGTGAGGAGTTGCAGGGTCTGGCTGGAAGCACAGGGATGACCTCTGAGCCAAACGAACTCCTAGATCTCTGAGGTGAACTGCAGCATTGGCTGCCTCCAGGAGGAGATTGAGGTCCTCAAAGGCCAGAGGTCGTCCCTGGAGGCTGCCATCGTCAATGCTGAGCTGGCCATTAAGGACGCCGGGCAGGCCCAGCTGGAGGCCGCCCTGCAGAGGGCTACACAAGCAGCCGCCTTGTGAGCCTGGGAACATCAAGCCGGCACTGCACGTTGAGATCACCACCTACCTCGAGCTGCAGGAGAGTCGGGGGCACAGGTTGAAGGCCCAGGTGCAGAGCAGAGCGCCCACACAGAGACCTCCGGTGGCTGCGCACGGGTGGTGAGCGCACCAAGTCTGCGAGGTTGAGACCCAAGATGGGAGCTGGTATCTGAGAGCTCTGATGTCCTGCCCAAGGGAACAGCCACAGCAGCCTCTCCCAGCCCATAGCCCTCCCGCGGCTTCCCAGAGCCTGCGGAGACAGCTGTACACAGGAGCATTGGGAACAAGAGACCCGCCTGAGGCTTAGCCCTGGTCCTCAGCCAACCCTTGGGGGTGGGGAATCTACTGCCTGGGGTACCCCTTCTTGCCCATGCCCTCCACCAAAAACCAGTTTGTCTTTCCCAAGATAAAGCCTCAGCTGGTTCTGCCACCTGAAAAAAAGAGATCGGTGGCACACATCTGTAGTCCCAGCTACTTGCTGTGGTGGCTGAAGCAGGAGGATCTCTTTGAGTCCAAGAGTTTGAGACCAGCTGAGGCAACATAGCAAGACCCTGTCTCAAAAGAAAAAGAAAAAGTTGAGCAGACAACCCGTGGGATGGAAAAATACTTGTAAGTTATGTATCTGTGAAGGGATTTGAACTCAAAATATATAGAAAACTCAAGGATAAAGACCCATTAAAAATGGGACAAGCATCTGAACAGACTTCTCTCTCGAGATACACAAATAGCAAGCTCATGAAAGGGTGCTGTTACTGTCAGTCATCGGGCATGCAGATGAAACACACTCAGCCACGGCGTCACACCACCTGGATGGCTGTAGTCAGAAAGACAGATCTGACTGGTGGGAGGATGTGGAGAGATCGGAGCCCTCACACTGTGCTAGTGGGGTTGTCAGAATGCGGCTGCTGGGGAAGAGAGTTGGGCGCCCCGAGGTCAAGCATGGAGCCCCATGTGAGCCAGCACTTGCACTGCTGGGCATCTTGCAGAAAGAAGCAAGTGTTTGCCACAGAGCAACTTGCATGGTGGCGTTCACAGTAGCCCAAAGTGCCAACCAGCAGACTGTACCGTCCCCTGGCAACTGGGTAGGTCGAATGTGCTAAGTCCATACTGCGGACGTATGTGTCCATAGGAAGAAATAAAATAACAGATTCCTGTGTGGCAAGGATGGATCTTAGAAACTTGCGGAGTAAAGAGTCAGCCAAAAGGTCTCACAGTTTCCTTTATATCCAGTGTCCAGAATAAACAGATTCACAGAGACAGGAAGTAGGTAAATGGTTCCTTAAGATTGGGGTTGGAGGGGAGCTGGGGAATAACTGCTAATGGCACAAAATTTCTTTCTGGGGTGATGGAAATGTTCTAAAATTGATTGTGGTGATGGTATGCACAGCTCCATAAATATACTAAAAACCACTGAAGTGTATGCTTTAAATGGGTCGACTGTATGGTGTGAGTTATATCTCATTACCACTGTTAATACACAATAATTTCAAGTACATGAAAGCATAATTTATATGCTTAAAATAATGATGTGTGTTTATGTTTAGCGTGTCTAGATGTGCAGGTTATGTTGGTGTGTGCCATGGTTTTGTTCTGTGGTCCAGCTGACTGTGTCAGGGATCCGCTTCCTAAAGGTGATCATGCTCGACCACGCATGGCTTGGGTTTGTCGCCTGATGACCCAGTGCGCATCAAAGCCTGAGGTGGTCGGGTGCTGCCACCAACTCGTGCAGGTGCGAAGTGGCCCTGCAGAGGCCTCGCCTTACAGTCCAGCTGGCCCTGCTCCCTCCGTGCCATTATGTACTCTCTGTTCCATGCTGCCACCTGTACACAGCCTTCTGCAGGACCCTGCGGGTGCCTGCCCTGCCTGCCCATCTCTCCCCAGTCATGCTGACACTCCATTCCCCATCCACGTAGCCTAGCACCTCTGCCTTCTGTCCCGTGGGGCAGTTGAGTATGGGGGCTGAGGTGCAGATGTGATGGCTGTGTGTCCTTAGAGTGTAGCCTAGGCCAGGTGCCCAGCAGTCCTCCACCCAGCAGGTCCCACCTCCAGGGGCAGCACGGGCCTCAGCTCTCGCGAGTGGGCCTGCCGTCCCTGCCCAGCCTCAAGAATGGCAGTGTGGGATAGGCCCTCTGCAGCCTCTGGTCGGTGCTGCCTTTCTGAGATGGGCTTGGTAGTTCTGGGGAGGGGCATAGGGCAGGTTTCCTGTCTGAGCCCAGTTCTGCCTCACCCCCTAGCCTGGACCCCAGCCCCCCACTCTGCTTCCTGCTGCCCCTAGGCTGATTGTTCCAGTACCTGCTTGTGTGCCGCTGTGGCGGGTAAGCCAGGCACTTGGCCCAGGGATGGGGGTCCAGGAGGCGCCGGTTGAGAGTCTCGGTAGTGTGGGAGGCTGAGCGCCAGTCCCTTTGCCTCTCTGGGCCGGGTACCTTAGGCAGTCCAGGACTGAGCACCGGGGCCCTGCTCCCCTGGGGCTGAGGTGAGGAGCCTGTTCCCATCTCCCAGGCACCTAGTGCCTGCCAGAACAGAGGCACCTGAGGCAGGGCGCAGTGCCCAGGCCCTCAGAGGTGATGGCCTGGCTTTGACCAATTCGCTGTGCCCTCTGATCCACACTGTGTGCTCTTTCCTCAGTTCCCGATGGGTCCTGGCTCGGACGGCCCCATGGGAGGCATGGGCGGCATGGAGCCACACCACATGAATGGATCCTTAGGTAAGGTGGCCCCATCCTGCCTGGAAGCCTTCTCTGTCCCCAGCTCTTGCCTGGGTTTTGGCCTTGGTCAAACACATGGCAAGGTCCTGAGAAAAGAGGATGCCCAGCTAGGAAGCACCCTACAGAGTGTGGGATTGGGGGGAAGGGCTTGGGCCCTCCAGTGAGCCTAGGGAAAAGGGGGTCCTCCTCAGGTGCTAGAGATCCCTTGGGGAGCAGTGAGCAGGAAACTGAACAGGATTCTTCTTTCCTTCCAGGATCAGGCGACATAGATGGACTTCCAAAAGTGAGTGCACACACTGTGTCTACTCCTGGCAGTGCCCCTCTGCAGGGCAGCCTGTTGGGGACCCAGAGACTCACCCCCTCTTTTCTCTCCACAGAATTCTCCTAACAACATAAGTGGCATTAGCAATCCTCCAGGCACCCCTCGGGACGACAGCGAGCTCGGAGGGAACTTCCTCCACTCCTTTCAGAACGACAACGTAAGCTCCGCCAGCCCTCGTGCTCTTCGCCCCCGGGTCCTCCTCCTCTCCAGGGCCCAGGACCTCTGCCCAGCATGCCGGGTGGCCTGGCAGCTGTGCTGTAGGCTTTTCACCCTGGTAGTTTTTCCACACGTAGCACAGAGCCCTGGCCCCTCCCTCCAAGTCTGCCTTGTGGCAGCGTGTCTGGACACCCTGGCTGGATGCCCTGGGCTGAGAGGAGCACCATGGCCCTGGGAGGGAGGCTCACACCACCAGGGATTCCGGCCAGCTCCCCGTGCTGGGCGCTGTCTGCTTTTCCATCTGCTTTTCTGCAGTGGGCTCCTGTGTATACTCCTTTGAAGCAAGTGGCCTTTAAGAGCCCAGGTCCCTGCAGTCCCAGTTTGCAGAAGGATTGATTTAGAAGGGGATGGGCTGCGAAGCCACAGGGGCTGCCATCGCTCCGGCTGGTCCCCTTGAGCTTCCATCTCCTTGTCTGTACCCTGGCCCTCCTGGTCCTCCCGGCCCCTCATCCACTGACTGCCACCCTGCACCCTCAGCCTGCGCGTTCGAGCTCTGTGCACCTGTGGCCTGCACGTGACGTCTCTCTTCTCTGCTTCTCCTCTCCAGTATTCTCCAAGCATGACGATGAGTGTGTGACCCCCTTCTCCAGGAAGCTGAGAGAGCCAGCCTTGCAGGCGGGAAGATACCAGGAATTATGCAAGAAGTGAGGTGTCATTACCAGGAGCTGGGGAGGGCGCCTCCCCACTCTCCTCAACCCTCTCCTCCACATCCCACCTTCCCCAATTTTAGTTTCATGCAATAAAAAGGCTGAACTTTTTATTCCATAAAACATGAAGGACAAAACTCAAAAATATATTTCAAGTCAACGACCTGGAAAACCCCCACCCCTTGCCCTTTCCCAAAAGGAACTTTTCTGTACATGACACTTTTTTGTTGTTGTTTTTTGTTTGTTTGTTTGGGGTTTTACTGTTGCTGGGATTTTTTTTTTTTTTTTTTTTAAATTTGTTTTCAGGAGGGATTTCTTTGGGAAAAAATTTTAAAAATGGAAGCTTCTAGCAAGCCCCCCACCTCAGCCAGCCTCTTGCTTTCTTTAAAAAAAAAAAAAAAAAAGGAAAAAAGAAGAAAAGAAACCACAAGCCCTGCTGTCTATCTGCCCCCAAGCCCTACCACCAGGAAAGCTAGTCTAGGTGTGAGATGCCACACTGTCTTTGTAGCCATCTAAAAATAATAATAATGAACTGGACAGTTTACAATCCGTAGTTTCTTTAAAAAAGCCTTTTGGGGAAGGAAACGAAAGGAAGCCGCCCTTCTCTGCTTGGGGATTTCGGTTTGTGGGACAGCAGGGGCGGACAGGAACCTGCTTTGTTTTGGCCTTGCTGGCAACAGCAGCACACCTGGACCTCTGGACACAGCCCATCCTGTGGCCCCTGACCGACCTCCTCCGGGACTCCTGTGGTCGCCGCTGCTGTGACCTGACCGGCGCATGCACTGTGTCCCCAGGACGGCCTCCTCTCCCTCCTGGGCCTCCTTCCTGGCCGCCGCCTCCAGGCCTCCGCAGCCGTGCCCTGGCCTCCCAGCGAGAATCCTGCCCGCCGGGTGGTGGCCCTGAGCAGAGCAGGTGAGGCCACCACCAACAGGATGGCTATGACCTGGGACTTGGAAACCACGACCTCTGCGTTCTGGGCCCGAGATATTGCATTGTCGCTCTGTGCACAGGCAGGGTGGGCTGGAATCTGGGTTTCTTTCTTTTTTTTCCTCCTTTTTTCTCTCCTCTTTATTTGCCCTCCTTTCTCAAAGATGGGCTGTTGACCAGAATTGCTCTGTAAATGCTTGGAACTGGATGGAAGACTTCAGCATAGCTGTGGGGGGTGGGGGGGAGCACCAGAAACCAAACAGACGTGCTGTTTCCAGTCCTGTTTTTATTTTCAAAAACCGATGAACCCGACGGTGGAGCCTATCCCCTCCTAGGAGGGGTGACTCATGACACCTCACCCCCCTGGAAACCTTTGTGTCTCGCCCTGGAAGACACCAAATTCTTTGTACATTTACACTCCCCTCTCCTCCTCCCTACCCCTGTAGCTGGTCTTTGTTTTATTACCGCCCCTTTCTGATCCATGTATATCATATTATGTGAGATACCATCTGCCTGAAAAAAGACCTTGTGCGGATTATTGGGAACATTGTAGCTGTTTCTGTGTTTTTTCTTACCTTGTAGTCTGGTTCTGAATTACGAGAGGAAAAAAAAAGTAATTATGATACATTGTAGTTTGTGTACGATATATGTTGATAACGTTTTATTAAAGGGACATCTTTTTTCCGCAGCCCTTCCTGACATGTTTGGGGAACGTGGGTTGGAGTTTATGATACTGATCACAGAATGCAAGGTGGCTCTTGGGGCACCAAGTGTTTGTTCCTGGCATGAACAAGATTCTGTTTTGTTTCTGGTATCTGCCTTCTCCCTGGGCAAACTTGGTCCAGATTTTTTGGAGAGTCGTAGGCCTTTGGGGAAGGTGTGCTGGGAGGCGTGGGGCCATGGATCTTGCTTCAGATAGCCTGAGAGCCAGCTTCCGTTTCTCAAGTCTTGCAAATAGTTCCCCATTGTGTCTCCGCCTCCCATCCCATACTAGGGTCTGATCCCAGGGCCTTTGTGTTGAGCTACATCCCCACGATCCTTCCCCATAAATCTGAGACAGCAGCTCACGAAGTTGCCCAGGCTGGGCCTGAACTTGGAATCTTCCTGCCTCAGGCTCCTAGAACGTCAGCATTCTGGGAGTGTGCCACTATGCCCAGCGCTCTGGTTCTGGAATTAGAGCTTCCTGCTGCCGTGCTTTCTGTGGGAATTAAGGGGCCAGGATGGCCCTGTGCTGACCCCCCGCCTCCTCCCCTCGGGGAGCACTCTGTGCCTTGCAAAGATCCCCGGACTGGCGAGCCTGGTGTGTAGAGGACTGCGGGGTTGATGGGAGGGTCTGTGGGTGCTGAGCCACTAGGAGTTCTTGTTTACTCCCAAAGCAATAGAGAGCCTGGAAAGATTTTCAGAGTAGCACAGACTGAGCTGGAGTGAGAGAAAGTGCTGGGTGGAGCCATTCCCAGCTGCCACACAGGCAAGACACGCTGAGCTGGGGCAAGGCGAGCAGCCAGGGGCAGGGTTTAGAAAGGAGGGCCAGAGTGCTGGGGACCCCATTCCAGACCCAGCGGGGTTAGAGAAGGCAGTGCGGGGTGTCCGGGCTGCAAAGCCAGATCTTACCTTTGCCACTACCTGCTAGGTGGCCTTGGCCGGTTAATTTACGTCTCTGCCTCAGTTTCCTCCTCTAAGTGGGGGCAGTGGCTTACCTGCCTCGTGGGGTTGGGAAGTGTTCAGCTTGGCAGGCAGTGAAACCCGGGGTTTGCTGCCGGTGATGCTGCTGATGGGGCAGGGCATGTGTCTGGCATGGGATTTGCAACTCCACCTGATCCTGACCTCACCAGGAACAGGTTTCCTCAGGCTTTTCCTTGGTGTAGACACCTTGGAACCATTGGGAACATCCCCGTTGGACAGGTGAGACTTGGCCATGTCTGCCCCATGGCCTTGTGCGCCTGCTGCACACCCAGGAGCTGGGGAGGATGGGACATGCACTCACGGCCTGTGCCGCTTGTGTTCCTGCATCAGGGGTTGGGTACAGACGGGCTGGGCCATGGGGGCACTGGTAGAGAATGAGGGGCCCCCTGGAAGAAGCCCCACCCGCCACCTGGGTCCTCCAGGGGCCTCCTGGTTCCCTTCACAACACAGGTGGCCCTGGAGAGGCTTGCTCGGGTGGCTTCTCTGAGGCCAGGCCTTTGGACAGGACTGATTCTTGGTCCTCCAAGTGTCTTCACTGCCCAGCCCCCGCCTAAGAGATGCAGGGGCCGCCAGGGCTCTGCACTGAGCCAGCATGAGCGCCCCGGAGGAGGGAGTCCTGCCCAGCCCTCCTCAAGCAAGGGCTTCCGCTCACCCGGGCGGGCGAGCAGCCCAGGCCATGGCTCCTGTAGCAAGGCTCTGCACAGCCACTGCTTCCCTCTGCTCCTCAGGCAGACGGGCTGCTGATGCGGCCTGACAAAACTGGGTTTCTTTCTGCTGCGGCTGTGGCCTCTCAGCCTGCCTGAGTGACGAGAAGCCCACCCCAGCCCCCATGGTGGTGTTGGGGGTGTCGCCCCAAGATCCCATGGACTCCAGAAGGCAGGGCCCAGGGCGCCCCAGAGCTTGGATACAGGGACTGGGCAGGGAGGCAGATGGAGCAGAACTGCAGGTGCAGCTGGCTCAGCCCCTTTGGGCTCCTCCCTGAGCAACAGCTCTCACTGAAAAGGGGGAGCGGGGAGGCGGCTGACTGGACTTAGGACGGGGGCTGGGGCGGGAAATGAACCACGCAGAGGCAGGGCACAGAAAGTAAATGTCTGTCAAGCTGCCAGCGCTGGCCCTTCCCTCCACGGAGCCCAAGCCCTTGGTAGCTACCGTCTGGACATCCAGCCACCTCTGGGTTCCCTACCCTGCTCTGTCCTGCTAGTGCACACAGCTCGTTCCTGAGCCTGCAGACTCTTTCCTCTCCCGCTGTCCTCGCGGGTGGGCCAAGCAGCTCTTGGTGCTGCACAGTAGCAGAGTGCAGCCCCAGAAGCATGGCCGCGCCTTCTGGGGACCAGGGAGATGCCGCAGCTTACAAGGCATTCTGGAAGGGCATTTGAGCTGGGTTCCACAGGGTAAGCTGGAAGGCGCAGTGAGGGCAGACTCCCAGGTGGGCAGAACTCCAGAGCTGTGCACAGCTGATGTTTGTGCTGCCCTTCAAGATCTGCAGCAGGGAACCTCAGGTTTTTGCTCCTCAGCCCCAACTTGTGCCAGGGTTCCAGTGTGGCCTTGCTGGGGAGGAGACCCTTGGAGACCAAGGTGGGGTGTCCACAATCTGGAGGAGCTGGCCATGCTCCCCATGCCTCCAAGTAGCCCCTGGACCTTGCACAAGGCCCCTGGAGCCTCACACCTACCAGGCCGTGGAGACTTTCCTGACTTGAGATGGTACACAGGCCCTCACCATAAAGCTGGGTGAAGACAAACATGATGCCAAAGTGTGTGGCATCGACACATGGCATCTGGCCAGGACCTGATGACACTGGAACGAGCAGAGGGCATGTGACCTGGGGTGCTCAGCTCATCTAGCAGGAAACTAGTGGGGGATCTGCCCTGAATACTCTGCTCAGATCCCCACAGGCACCGTGTGTAGTCCAGCAAGAGCTCGGCACCGTGTGGGGCATCCTGTGAGGCAGGCATGGTCTTAAAGGTCACACTGGACCAGTTTCAGGTGAAGAAATGGAAACTCAGGATGAGCTCAGCCAGGTCACGATGTGCGCTGAGGCACCATGGCCTGCAGTTGTGCAGGGACAACGTGGCACCGCACTCACACCTACACAGATCCAGTGCAGCCAAGGGCTGTTTATTCCCAAGGAAAACACCAGGCTGAGTGGGCACAGAGGTCCCAGGGACCACCCAGAATGCGGGCTCCTCGGAGGGAGAGGCGTCAGTGTTCAGAATGTCCTTGCTTATGCAGCGTCGTGCAGGTACAGGGCTAAGAACTTCCTGAAGGTCTCTGGCTGGAAATCAACTGGCCCAACCGGCTCCTGGAAACAACAGAGCCCATTAGGACGCTGTACTAGGTTTAACGGTAGCAATTAAAATCAGTTGGTTGCAGGTCAATCTGCAGTACCTGGATAATCATTCCCTTTCCTATGCTCCCTTTTAAGCACCAAGAAGGGTCGTAAGCAGCTGGCACTGAGGAGGGAGTGAGCGACAGTTGCCAGGAGGCCAGGAAGCACTCCTCAGGTCATTCACCGGCACAGCCCCTCCCTAAGCCCCCTCACTGCAGCTGCAGGACAAGTGCTCTGCTGCCTGCAGTCCCAGCTCACACCACATCATGCACTGGATGCCTGGGGCCCTGTGCAGGAGGCAGCAGTGTATGAATCTGTTCCTCAAACAGCTGACAGGTGCTCAGATAGAAGCAAAGGTGACAGATCCCACCGCAGAGTCGGGGAAAGAGCTACAAGTCAGGGGAAATGACCAGTTCACTGGCTTGCACACATGGGAGGGCAGGAATGGGCCAGAAAGAAAAACAACAGGAAAGCCTCAGCAGCACACGCTAGTGCAGAGGGGCGCGAATGACGGCAGCAGGGTGAGGGCTGGGCTGCAGCCCAGGCTCAGGGCAATGGTGCGACAGCAGGAGCTGCAGCTTCAGGGCGAACTGGGAGCCAACCGACCAGACCACAGGCCCAGTGCTGAGTTCAAATTCTGGAAGGAAGAGGCTGGAGGGAGAGGACCTGAAAACAGGGAGGGACGGAGAATAAGAACAGAGAGGCGGAGCAGGCTGGTGTGCCCAGGCAGAGTGGTGACAGGGTCTCGGAAGAGAAACCATGCTGGCATGCTGAGGGACTGCTCACAGAAGCGATGAGGACAGTGTTCAAAGGCCCCACAACTCCACTTAGCAACTGTGCTCAGGCCCCGCGGGACACCACTGGGCACCGCCCAGCAGCACCCTCGGCCATCACACCTCGGGTCCAGCGTGCCAGACTAGGACAGTGCCGCGGCGGGCCCTCCTCCCTCAGCGTCTGCAGCCCCCCAGCGCTCTGGGACTGCAGATCCTCCCAGATCCAACCGCCCAGCTGGAGACAGCTGCACTCACCACCACCACCTTCTTTCTGATCACCGGGAGACACCAGAAGTGCCGATAGAGGAGCTGGTCCGACTCCAACCAGACCAAGTTCTTGATGCCCTCGTTTGAGGCCAGATCCGTGGTGTTCAACTGCAGCACCAGGAACTGGAAAACACGTCCATCCGTGCCCACGCTCTGCACAACCACGGGCCGCTCCAAGACCTTGTTGTCATTCTGAGAGGAAAAGGGACAAGTAAAAGCTCAGAAACCATGGAGTGCGAGGAGCAGCACTGACCAGGCGGCCTCTCATTCTGCCCTACCACCCACTTGCTCCCATTTTATGGCTTCGCCCTGGGGCAAGAGGCGCCCAGGGCCCTGTCTGCCTCTGTCTGGCCTCCTGTACCTCACAGCCCCAGGAAGCTGGATGGTTCAACCTGAGCACAGGAAACTAAGAGTTCCCGCCACGCAAGGCAGTTCCTGGCCACAGAGCTTGGGCAGGTGAACTGGGAGGTTAATGACAATCTTGCAAGTTCAAGGCAACAACAGTGACATCAACTATCAACTGTCCTCCTGGAGGACTGCCACTCAGTTCTCATTCCATTTGACAGATGAGGAAACTGAGATTCACCGAGGTAAAATGACTTGTCAGAAGTCACAAAGATGTGTCATTGGAACCTAAG